AGCCTCATTACTAGCTGTGTGACCTGGGCAAATCCTGTTTGCCTTAGTTTCCTCATCTGTAAAATGTGCTGAGGAAAGAAATGACAAACCATTTCAGTATCTTTGCCAAGAAAATCCCAAATGAGGTCACAAAGAGTTGGAAACAACTGATCAACAACAACCAGGAAGCACCTGGCATGGGAGCATGATGTTCCATAGAATTAGAACCAGAGCTGCTGATGGAACATGGACAGTTATCTGCAAAGTTCTGAGCTAAGCCCTCTACAAAGAAAGGCTTTTGAAGGAATTTATTGCTTTACCCTCCAGAACCCCAATCAGAGGGGACAGGCAACTGAGTAATAAAAAAATGAATCAACCAGTACTGGTGATGAAAGTTCAGGTGATTCTGGGAAGCCAATAGAATAGGTTATCCCGGATATCTAATAGATTCTGATAGCTTGAGGGCTTGCATGGCCCTTTTATTGTCATCCATAGAGACTGAGACATGAACTATATTCTGATATTCCTAGGGGAAAACCTTAGTTAGGGGCACAAGACAAAAACAAATTAATGATAAATCTCCCAAGTACATGTAAACCCAAAGCTTGTGGTTCTGGCCTTGGGTTACAACTTTAACTTTGCTGACTTTATTTCCACCAAACTAACCCTTGGTCTTGGGGAACAATAATGTGTCACATGGACAGCAGCAATGTGTCATGGGGGGTTACTAAATTTTTTTTAAATTAAGGAATAATCCTCTGTGTGTATTGAGAGGGGGTAGGGATGGTTATTGGGAAATTCTTGTGGTAGGGGGAAAAAAGCAAAATGCATTTCAAAAATATTTTTAGAGGAAAAATGCTACATGCCTTGTATGCATTTTTCCAAATTCTATATTAGCTGATGCACCATAAAAACTCTTTATGTTTTAAATATCTAACTTGCTATGGTTTGCGTTCTTCAGACATTGCTGACATAGCACTTCCAGCCAAATCTGGGAAGCTGGCACATTCACATATTTTTGAGGAGGCAGGACAAATTTCTAGGCAGGACATGAAGACTTTGAATCTCCTCAGGGATTCATGTCTCAAAGGGAGAGTCACAGAAAGACAACCTGACACTCAAGCTGTTGACAAACTGGAGATTGGCATGACCAATTGGATTCCACTGTCTCCTGAAACAAAAGAGCTCTTCAGATAGTATGCCGGAGCACAGGACCTTGCACATAGCAATCCTTTAATCAATATTTATTGAATTGTTTGACAAAAAGTAAGTGGGTTGTGTTCCCATTAACAAAAAAGGCAGAAAGAAAATCGAATATATGTTGACTGCCATACTGTGATTCCCCTTTGAAATTGCTTTGGTTTCATGAAACACAATAAATGGAAGAAAGTAGAAAGTTCCCCAGCCTGAGGGCCAGAAGCTCTGGATCTAGTCCTTTCTTTGGCCTCTTATTCACTGTGGTACCTTGAGCAAGCTTCTTCTCTTTTGACCTCAGTTTCTTCAGCCATAAAAGGGGTGTGTGTGGAGGGTTAACTTAGGTGATCCCTAAAGTTCTGCTTTTTTTTCCCTTCTCCTTTTAGTGGTGAATTGGGATAAGGGGTGAATGGCTGATTGTCTTGGTAGGACATGGAGGCCCTATCAGCGTGGGGAGACCCAGAAAATTTGGCTCCCTATTTCCACTCCAGCCCAAAGCTGTTCACACATGTATTGCCTTTCTGAACACTAGTTGCCTCTACTGGAAGGACCACAGACAATAGCACCACCTGGTGGCTTTCAGATAAGATTACACTACATTTCTTAGAAAGTGTTTAAAGAATTGGAAATTGAGTGAATGTTCATCAACTGGGGAAGGGTTGAACAGGTTGTGGTATATGAATGTAATGGAATATTACTGTGCTATAAGAAATGATGAGCAGGCAGACTTTAGAAAACCTGGAAAGACTTGTATGGTCTGATGCTGAGCAGAACATCGTACATGGTAACAGCCACATTGTATGATGACTAACTATAATAGACTTAGCTCCTCTCAGCAATGCAAGGATCTAAGACAATTCATTATGGAAAATGCTCTCCAGAGAAATAGTCTGAATACTGATGGAAGCATACTATTTTCACTTTTTTCCTCCTTTTTTTTCCTTTTGTTCTATTTTTTCTTTTACAACATGACTAATGTAGAAATATGTTTAATATGATTGTACATGTATAGCCTACATCAGATTGCTTGCCATCTTGAAGAGGGGGGGGGAGGGAGGAAGAAAAAAATTTGGAACTCAAAATTTTATAAAGGCAAAGTTGAAACTGTCTTTACATGTAATTGGAAAAAATAAAATGCTATTTACATAAAAAATGTTTACCAGGTTGTCGTTGTTGTTGTTGAGACATTTCAGTCATGTCCTACTCTCTGTGACCCCATTTAGGATTTTCTTGGCAAAGATACCAGAGTGGTTTGCCATTTCCTTCTCCAATTTATTTTACAGATTTGGAAACTGAGGCCAACAAAGTTAAGCGACTTGCCCAGGATCACACAGCTAGTAAGTGTCTGAGTCTGGATTTAAACTCAGGTCCTCCTGACTAAAGGTCAGGTGCTGTATGGACCGTACTGCCTAACCAGGATAAAAACCATATCCTAATCACATGACTTCATATTACATTGAACGTCGGACATAAGCATGCCCAAAAAAGAATAGAGAAGCTCTCTGAAGGTGTTATCAAAGTCATGGCTATCACTGACCTTGTAGCAAAAAGACATCATGGTCTAGCCCTTCGGTGTTCTATCTACCTAAGACTTCGGGCAGCTCATAGCATATCCCAGAATGTAAGACTCCCTCCCCCCCCACCCCCCAGCTATTCAGTGCAAGGTGATAAATAATAAAATCAGGAAAGCCACACAGGGATAATGGACCCTCTGGGCTTTCATATGCTCTACCATGAGAAAGGTTTTACTTGGCATAAATATATTCTCCTTGCTTCTTTTCCAAGGTACTTGTTTACAGCTAATGGAATATTAGGCCAAGCTCAACAAGAACCCATTAACTCTGTTCTCTCTATCTTTTTATCTACTAAGTGCAAGCATCCTCCATGTGCCGCCCTTCTCAGGGTACCCCTCAAATGGACTCACTTCCCTCCCTCCACCCACACCAGTGGTTCTCTATTAGCTCCAGGAACAAATATAAAATCCTTTGTTTGTTTCCCCAAACCCTTCAGAATCTGGCTCCTTCCTACCTTTCCAGTCTGCTTACGTGATTCTCATCCATATACTCTGCAATTCAATAACACTGGTCTCCTTGCTGTCCTTCACAAATAACCTGGTGAACATTTTTACTGGCTATTCCTCAAGGAAGGTCCTTGAGGGCAGGGACTGTCTTTTGTCTCTTTTTGTATCTCTTTGTATGGTCTGGCAATTAATAAGTGCTTAATAAATGTTTATTGAATGATTGATTGGAATACTCTTCCTCCTCATCTCCACCTCTTGTCTTCTTTGGCTTTCTCCAAGTCTCAGTTAAGTATCACCTTCTTCAAGAAGCATTCCCCAGTCCTCTGAGACTACCTCCAATTTATTCTGCGTATATCTTGTCTGTACATAGTTATTCGCATGTTGTCTCTCCCAACAGACTGTGAGTTCCTTGAGAGCAGAGACTGTTTGATTTTTTTTTTGTCTTTGGATCCTCAGCACTTAGCACATTACCTGGCACACAGTAGGCACTTGTTGTCCTTTGTTTCGAAGAGGAGCAATGACATCACAGGGTGATATCTTGACTTGCTGGTGAATTGGATTTAAGTGAGGCAGAGTTGCACAAAGTTGTCAGCCTCACTCTCCCTTTGAGATTTCATTGAAGTCCAGTGGTGAGACAAAAGTCAAGACACTGGTAATGGCTCAGGATGCAGTGGATGATTTTGGCATTTTTAATGTCTGACCAAGCTCAAAGCGCTCCATAGCACTTGCTTTAGCCACCTTCATGACCACTGGAATAGATTGTTCTCATCTGCCCATGATCAGGGGAAGTCTTCACATGCTTAGGGTAGATTTCCCCTTACCTCACCAATGAGTCTGTCAGTTACTTCCAACCTGGTTTAATCCATCTGCCAAGATAGTGTCATCAGGGTGAGGTCACTTCTACAACTTCTTGGAGCCACAGGTGAGAGGTGGGTGGCAGGTGGACACTAAAGGTAGATAAATAGCCCTGAAAAGGGTTCCTCAAGCCCTCTCAACAGAAATGCTAGTCCTCCCTAAATATCTCATTCACCCCAGTAGGCATTTAACAAATGGCAATTGACTGACTACTGACAGCAACTGCTGGTTCCCTAACTTCACAGTTCAAATGTCATACTTCCCTAATAATGGCTATACAATTTCCATGCCCATATAATTTTTTTTTGTGAGGCAATCAGAGTTAAGTGACTCGCCCAGAGTCACACAGCTAGTAAGTTTGAAGTGTCTGAGGCCTGATTTGAACTCAGGTTCTCCTGACTCCAAGGCCAGAGCTCTATCCATTTCACCACCTATCTGCCTCCCCCTTCTTTAATCATTTTTTTCATATAATTATCAAGAAATCCATAAATACATTATTAAGACTCCATAGGGACTACAGTTCCAGTCCAGCCAAGGGGAAGTAGTAGTACAATCATGGTGTTCTATCCTAGTTTAGCTGGTTTAAATGAAGAAAAGGAAAAAGAGGGGATAAGGAATAGCACAGATGCTACAACTTATTTGGATCTACAATCTGTTCAGAACCACTGCTTTCAAATTCTTATTTTCCTCTAAACTGACCCTTACCATATAGAGTCAGACAAATCTGACAACATGGTAAGGAGAAGTGACATTCACTTAGAGTAAATTGTAAAGTAAATAACATGGAATTAAAATAAGCAAGCATTCCATCACTCATTTCGTAAAACTATCACCTCCCATGCCTCCAGTCCCAGGGGGTAATGGCTTGCTTGTATCCACCTCCTCCAAGCTGCCTTATCAGCACAATGCAGTAAGTAAGCCAGGGAACAGGAAAGGGGTGTTAGTGACTCACCTAGCGTATGAATGTCAAAGTCTTGGTGCTTGAGAGGGGATTGTCTCCAGGTGTAGGTACTAGAACAGGCATGAGCAAGAGCATGAGGGATGAGCTTCCCAGGGACAATGATATCCCTTTATTTTAAGGTCTAGGGCACATGTGACATTGGGAAAACTTAGGTTCCAAAAGATATTCCCCTCAAAGAAGTGGTAAAGTGATATGATTTCAGGCATGATTCTAATGCATGACATTTTCAGCTTATAACTTATTGTTCCCATTTACTATTTTATTGGCACTTTATACCATTTAGAATACTTATTTCTACCATTTTAGTTAGTAGTAATACTGTAGTAGTTGGCAAGCATTTATTAAGCACCTATTTGCATTAGTCAATAAGCACTTATTAAGTGGTTACTTTGTGCCAGGTACTGTGCCAAGCATGGGTGATACATGAAGCTCAAGGACCTCTGAAGGAACTCAATTGTAATGGATGGAAATAACTATTGACCTACAAGTGATATATAGTACAAATGGATGGTAATCTTAGAAGGAAGGGACTGGGATGGGAGGTGGGGTGGGGACAGAAGGTAGAGAGGGGCAGAAGGTAGAGAGGAAGGCCTCCTATAAAAAGTAGAAGTTAAGTCTTAAAGGAATCCAGAGAAGCTAGGAGGTAGAGATGAGGAGGCAGAGCATGCCAAGTATAAGGGGCAGCCAGCGCAAACGCATAGAGTTGGAAAATGTAGCGTCTTGTGTTAGGAACGTAAAGTAGGCCAACATAGCTGGATCATAGGATACAGTATATAGAGGGAGGTAAATGTAAGAAGACTGGAAAGGTAGGAAGGAAGGAAACCAACTGTGAAGAGCTTTAAATGACAAAGATGAGTTTATCTTTGATTCTGGTGACAATAGGGAGCCACTGGACTTTACTGATTAGTGGGGTGGCATGGGCAGACCTGTGCTTTGGCAAGATCCCTTTCCAACTTGAGAGGGTGATGAATTGGAGTAGGGAGAGACTTGAAGCAGGGAGACCAAGTAGAAAGCTGTTGAAATAGCCCAGGTGTTATGTGGTGAGAGCCTCTGTAAGGGTGGTGATTATATGAATGGAGAGAAGGTGACATATAGAAAATATGTTTTGAAGGTTAAAATGGCAAGATTTGACCACAGAACGGATATGTAAGATGAGTACAAATGAGGGAAGGACGACACTGAGGTTGCAAGCTTAGGTAACTGCAAGGATGGTGTTACCTTGCACAGTGATAGGCAAGTTGGGAATATAGAAGGATTTAGGGAAAAGATGGGGGGGGTTCTGTTTTGGATGTGAGTTTGAACTAAGCTCTTGGTGATACAGAGATAAAAGAAAAATAGTTCTTGCCCTCCAGGAGCTTACATTCTAACTGGAGGAATGACAATGTACAATATAATCATAGAATATAAAAAAAAATAAATGCGAGCTAATTTTGGAAAGAGAGGCCTAGCAGACTGTGGATCAAAAAAGGATTCATATTGGAGGCGGGCACCTAAGCTGAACTGACCTTTACCCTTATAGAATTAGACACTTTTTACAACATAGGAAGGAGAAGGGGCATTCATTTAGAGTAGATAGCAATCTAATTAACAAGGAATTAAAATAAGCAAGCATACTATCATCCATTTCTTACTCACCTTCCATGCCTCCAGGCCCAGAGGGCAATATAGCCTGCTTGTATCCACCTCTTCCAAGCTGCCTTATCAGCACAATGCAGCAAAGCCAGGGAACAGGAAAAAGGTGTTAGTGATTCATGAAAACTGAATCCTTAGTGCTTGAGAGGACAGAAAACTAGGCACTCATAGAGGCAGAGGTGAGGGAAGAAATGAGGAAAGTGGAGAAAGATAGAAAGTTAGAGGGGGGGAGAGAAGTGGTAAGGAAAGAAGAGAGGAGTAGAGGAGAAAAAAAGAGGAACGTGAAGAAGAGAGGAAAGGAGAAAGGAGGAATAAAGAACCTTGGAGAAGGGAGGAAAGGAGAGAAAAAAATTTAATGCAACTCCAAAGCATTTGTTAAACACTTTAATCCTTTTTTCTTTTTTAAGACTAGATCTCCCTATTTTGCCCAGCCTGGAAGAGGAAGAGCCATTGACTACCCCAGGTCCATTATTAACTGGCTCAAGAGCGTTGACCTGCTCAGTTTCTGACATGAGCATGTTTTCCCCTTTTTAGGCAGCCTGGTGGGCTTCACTCCCAGCAGCTCACCATATTAATGTTAAACTTAATGTGCATACCCAATTAGCTTAGCCCACTACAATGTAGAACTCTGGTGCTCAAGAGTTCTGCCAGCCTCAGTTTCTCCTACAGCAGCACAGAGCTGCTCTAGGCATAGGGCTTTGATTACCAGGCTTGAGCTCTGATTCTGAAGAGAAAGAGGTGATGCACTAGATGCTAGGTACTAGGGATAGAAAAATTAAAGGAAAAATGTCTTTGCCCTCAAAATTACAATTCTAGCTAAGTACCCAGCTGTAGCAGCCAAATAATAAAAGCTTGTTAAATTGAAATTTTCCTTGAATTCTAGTGGGGGAGGGTACAATATGTACACAGATAATACAAGATCATTTGAAGAAAGTGAACATTAATGAGAAAGGAAGGAAACACGCATTTTTCAAGCATCTACACTGTGCTAAGCATTTTATAAATAATATCATTTGATCCTTCCAACAATCCTATAAGATAGGTGTTTTTATTAACCTCATTTTAGAGTTGAGGAACTTGAGATAGAGGATAGAGGATAAGTAACTTGCCCAGGGTCACAGAGCTACTAAATGTCTGGGCCTAGATTCACCAACCTGCCATAGGCCTCCCATAGGAGGTGCTACCTGAACTAAGCCTTGAAAGAAGTTAAGGATTCTAAGAGGAGGGGTGAAGAGGGAAGGCATTCCATGAATGGGAAACAGCCTATGCAAGGCATGGAAGTAGAAGATGGGGTGCTGAGTTCAGGAAAATAAGTAGGCTAGTTTGACTAGAATGTAGAGTGCATGAAGAAGAATAATGAAAAATAAGACTGGAAAGGCAGGGTAGAATCTGACTGTGAAGGGCTTTAAATGTCAAGCTGAAGAGTTTGTTTTAAAGGCAATAGGGAGCCACTGTAGATTCTTGGGACGGTTAGTGACATGATCAGTCCTGTGATTTAAGAAGATTGGTTTGGCAGCTATGTGGAGAGTGGAATGGAGAGAGGTAAGAGAGGTGTCACTTAATGTGGTCCTTTTTGAGTGTGTTGAATTTGAGATGCTTACGGGACATGCTTTTGGAGATATCTTACAGGCAATTGGTGATGAAGGACTGGAGCTCAAAAAGAAATTAGAGCTCGTATAGATTTGAAAATCAACTGCATTTCGATGATAACTGAATCAATGGGAACTGATGAGAAGGCCCAGGACAGTGTCTAAAAGGACACCTATGGTTAGGGGGCTAGTCATGGCAGATGCTATATCTAAGAGAATGAAAAAGAATGGGTAGACAAGAAGGAGAACCAGGAAAGAGCTGTGTCATAGAAGTGGACGGAGGAGACAGTATACAAAATCATGAAGTGAACCAAATCCAAACCAACAAACTGCAGAGAGGTCAAGAAGAACGAGAATGACAAACAGCCATTTGAAAAAATAGCTTGGAAAGAGCAGTTTTCTGTATGGTGGTGGGGCTGGGAGGAAGTGGTGGAGGCAATCAGCTATTTCTAGGAGTTTAGCTATGAAAGAGAGGAGAGCTATAGATAGCTTGAAGTGAAGGATTTTTTTCTTCTTTCTGTCTTTCTTTCAAAGGATCAGGGAGAACAGGGCACTCTTAGGAAGGGCCTGGAAGATAAAGATAGATGGAAGATTAGATAAAGAGGATGACTGAAGGAAGTATATAGGACCAAGGGTACCCAGAGAGGTGCTGGCCTTGGAGAAATGAGGTATCTCTTTGTCAAGAGACTGCAGCAAAGAAGTAGTGAATGAGGGATAATATAGATTAGTTTTTATATCTAGAAAAGAAAAAAAGGGTGTTCTCCATTGATGCCTCTATTTTCTTAGCAAAGTAGGAGGCACTGTCTTCAGCTGAGGTGGGGCTAGTAAAGCAAAGTGTAGGAGATTTAAAGAGAGATTTGAAATAGCCGCTGTGAAGAGTATGAGAGAATGTAAATCAGAAGAATTAAAAGAATTGTCTTATAGCAGTGAGAGCTCAATCGAGGTAACATGAATTAATAGAGGATTCCTTCTTTTTAGCATCATTTGAATGGGAGCAGAAAAGGTGAGAGCACTCCAGGATTGGAGTTTGTCAAGGCATGAGTAGGGATAGAGAAAAAGAAACGAGAGCAAAAGACGAACATAATCAGATTGGTGAACTGGAAAGGAGTAGTTCACTACATTGCTGAGGTTGGCCAGATGAGGAAAGGTACACTGGGAAAGCAGGGAGACAACACAGAACAGTTTTAGGTGTGAGGTCCAGTGAGGAATGGAAGGAAAGGAAGTTATGAGGGAAGGAAGAATTTCAGATCTGGATCATAAAGTTGGAAGAATTATGGGAGACAGTGAGAGCAAGCTTATGACCTCTGTGCAGCTGAGGTGAAGCAAAATTACAGTTCTTGGAGTAGAGGCCGATAAAGTGGAAGGTTCAGGTATGTGAGGGAATAACAACACATACTAGAGTCCCCAGGCTACAGGGTAGGGATACTGGCAGAAAGGAAATCTGTGAGGACTCTTTAAAGGAGAGGAAATGACCTTGGGGCAATCTGAATAGGGTGATGAAAGGAAGTTAACAATAATAATTTACATTTATATACAGCTTTCAGATTTACAAAGTATTTTCTCTAGTCAACTGTTAGTCAATTAGCATTTACCACGCACCTACTAAGCTATACTGTGAAGTAGGTAATGCAAGCTGTTATTATCCTATTACACAGAACAGGAAACTGAGGCTCAGAGTGGTGAACTGATTTGCCCAAGGTCACAGGGCTAATAAGTGTCAGAGCTGGGAGTCGTATTTAGGTTTCCTGATTCCTACTCTTTCTGCTACACATGAGTAGAGGGGCTGGGAAAGAGGCAAGGGGGTGGGAGGGGATAAAAGAAGAGAGGACAGAAGAGAGAATAGGGAGAGGAAATAGAGTAGAGGAGAGATGAGAAGAGAGGAAAAGGAGAGAGAGATAGACAAGAGGAGAACGAGAAAAGAGAAGGGAAAAGGGAGAAGAGAAAAAGAGGAAAAGGAAAGAGTGAGAAAAGATGGGGTAAGAGAAGAGGGGGAGGGAGCAAACGGGGCAGGCCAGCTCAACTGCAGCTCTTTGCGGGGGAAGAGGGGGAAGCCGAGGCGTTTGTTGTGTTGCTCCCCGAGCTGGTCCCCAAATGGTCGCGTCCAGAGCCGGCGGCCAATGGGCGGCGGGGATGTTGGGAGCCGGGGCCGCTGTGCGGGCTCTCGCTGGCTGGGGACGGCGGCCGCCGCCATGATGCTTGTTTGCTTTCAATGAAAACGAGGGGGGCGAGGAGGAGGAGGAGGCGGCGGTGGCGGCGGCGGCGGCGACGACGACGAGGAGACGGCGGCGGGGAAGGCGAAGAGGGCGGTGGCGAAGAAGAAGCGGCGGCGGAGGGAAGGTGCTGGGGGAGGGAGTAGCGGCGGCGGCGGCCGGGCTCCGGGCGGGCGGCCGCGGGGCCCTCGGAGGGAACAAAGAGCAGCGGGAGGCTGAGGCTGAGGCGGCGGCGGCTGAGGCGGGAGCGGCGACGGCGGCAGCGGCGGCGGCGCGGCGACAGCTGGGGGGACTGGTATGGTGGTTCCAGAGGTCAGACCCCGCTGCACTCACAGGGAGGAGGAGGAGGGGGAGGAAGGAGGCGAACCCCGAGAGGTAAGCGCGCGGGAGCGGGACCCCTCAGCCCAGCCTGGGCGGGGAAGGGGCCGCGGCTGAGGAAGGGCCGGGCCGGAGGGGGGGGTGGCAGGCGGTGGGGGGGGTGAGGGGGAGAGGAGCCGCGGCGGGCGGGGGCCCTGGGCCGGGCTCCTCTCGCGGGGCTCCCGGGCACCGAGGCTCCTCTTCCTTGCCCCCCCTCCAGGAGCGGCTGTTCGCCCGGGAGAAGTTGTCTTCTCCCGAAACTTCCCATCCTTGACCTGCCCGGGCCGAGGGGCGCACACGCCCCCCGCCCCTGGCTGGGGACCCAGGATGTCGCCGCCGCCACCTCCTCCTCCTCCTCCCTTTCCTTTCATTCATCTCCCAATTGCCTCCCCTCCCCCAAATAGGCACGGAAACACCAACACTTTAACGACAACAAAACCACAACTTTTTTTTTTGTCCCGTTAAAGTAGGAAAAAAAACCCAAAACAAACCACACCACAGAGCTGCTTGTTAAAGGAGGGGCTGTTGGTTGTTTTGATAAGAATCTGCAACTGCTGTTGCTGCCGCTGCAGGTCGGGATGCTGAGGCCTAGTTGGCACTAAAAAAAGCCACCGCGGCAGCGAGCAGTCAGAGGCTGAGCCTGAAACCGTCAGGAAAGGGTGCTAGGGCTTTGATTGACGGAAAGCGCAGGGAAACCGAAGGAAGGTGGGTGGGACTTAAGATGGCTAGCAGGTAAGTGGCTGAGACTGTGAGGCTTACACATGCAAAGAATCAACAGTAGAGGATTGCTTCCAGTTCCATTCTTTGGGATAACGCCAAGAACATGCGTGCTGCTTGGGGATGTGTTTTTATCTTTTTTTTTAAATCAGAGTGAGTAATTTTGTATCCAACTAGTAGGAGAGACAAGGCAGTAGACTAGGTTTGTAACAGGGTTAAAATAACTACTTCTTGGATAACTTGTGTAACTTTGATTTTCAGGGGAGGTGTATGCATGTTTTATATTAATATTCTTGTATCCAGTGATTCATGGGATCAGATGGTTTTTTTAAGTGATTAACTGGAGCA